TTTTTTTTTTTTTTTTTTTTTTTTTTTTTTTTTTTTTATGTCTTTTTCGTGACCGGTAAGGGGATCACAACCCTTGGCTTGGTGTCGCCCACACCGCGCTCAGCCAGTGAGCGCACCAGCCAGTCCTATATAGGATCCAAACCCGTGGGGGGAGTGTTGCTGCGCTCCCAGCGCCACACTCTTCTGAGTGCGCCACAGGGCCGGCCCTGGGAGTTCTTTATGTATTCTGGATACAAGTCCTTTTTCAGATATATGCTTTGCAAATATATTTTCGCTCACTCTGTGGCTTGTCTTTTCATTTTCTTAACTGTCTCTCAAAAAGCAGAAGTTTTTCATTTTGATGAGGTCCAATTTATCATTTTTTTTTCTTTTCTGAGAAATATTTGCCTGGCCCAGTGATGCAAAGATTTTTCTCCTACCTAGGTCTATGATTCATTCTGAGTTAATTTCTGCAGAAGGTGAAAGGTATGGGTTAGTATATTTTTTTCATGTGATTATTCAATTCCTCCAGAGGGGCACCTTTTTTAATTCACACAGTGGTGCCATATAGGCTGGTGGAGGTGTCTTCTTCACCTGGATTCCCCAGGTTGTGTATCAGAGGAACAGGCACACACATTCTAGCTGCCGAGGTGCTCGACACATGGGTAGCAGGATGGGTTGTTTGGGGCTTTTCTCCTCTGTGTGCCCCCACTCCCCACTCCCGCCCCAGCCATTCCATGCTCACTGCTTCAGGGAAGAGATGGGAATGCAGAATGCAGAGCTACAAATCTTAAGCCCTTTAGGCAAGAGGAGGACTTCTGGAATAAATCAAGGGTTTGGGAAAAGACCCCACTATGGGCAGGACTGGGAAAATGAAGACAGAAGTGATAAATGAGGCGCTGTGCTGAGAAAGGGCTCCTGTGCTCTTGGTGCCTGGTGCTCAGTCCCAGAGAGCTGCCACCTCAGAGGAGAAAAAGTGGGAGTCTGTGCAGGACAGAGGACTTTGGACACCTAGCATCCCTGCATAGTGAGGCAGCAGCAAGCGGCCCCACCATGCTGATGTGGCATGGATGTGGCACTGTTGGGGCACAGGGAGCATGAGAGCCTGAGTGGGCCTGATGATGGGGACCTCGGACCACCCAGTCAGGACCTGCAAGGACTATAAGCAAGGATCAGGAGGGGTATGGGTGTCTCAGTGGTGCCTGTGTGGACAGGAGCCAACAGGGCAAGGGAGCACCTTCCTCTACAACTTGCCACTGCAGCCTGCCCACACCCAGACAGCACTTCCACCACCCCAGGGGCGTGGGGACTCAAACTGGAAACTGATGGGAGTTAAAGGAAATAAAGCAAGCTGTATTTTCTTGCCCAATTTGAGTTTGGGTTCAGACTGAGAGTCTACCCGTGCCTACTTGGAGGAACATACGCACTGGAGCAGGCTTCTTGAGTTTGTTTTCTCCTCCGATTCTTCTGACAGCTGCGGAGGATGGTCTGCGCATGGAGCAAGCCTCCCTCTGCCCCTCGTCTCCACTTCACAGCACTGATAATGATGATAATGACACACCAAATTTACATAATATACTTCTCAGAAGACACTCCATGAGGCTCTGTAGAAACTCTTCTCTGTGAGTATTAAAATGTCTCTGCCAGGTGGGCCTGAAGCAGGGGAGACCAAAGCCACGTGGTAGAGTTGGAAACCAGGGCCCAGAAAGGTGCAGTGCTCTCTGCAAAGTCACACAGCTTCCCTCTCTGATGCCACCACCCTCAAATCTCAGCACATAGCCCACCAAGATGACCTGGGCTTCTGGGGGGCTCTGCTGCAGCTCTGGGGTGTGGTGAGGAGTGGGAGCCCTTACTTATAAAACCAAGAAGCCATAAAAGCCCCCAGAATAATGCATCCCCCACCCCAACTGCAGGATCATGTTGAAGGAGCAGGCAAAGGATGCTGGCGGCGAGGGAAACAGTCCAGAATCAAAAACAAGAATCAAGCTTCACTCGTAAACCTTCCAAGGACTCATTTGTTCTGTTAACTCCATAAACACAATCTAAGTCTTCCTAATAGTCACAGTCACCAGGTCTGGGGCTGTAATTGAATCTGTTTTCCATCCACTCTATTGGACAGAAGTTGCAGCAACAGGAATCCATCTCTCTACAACCTGCACACCGTGCAGACGGAAGACCACAAAACCGTAAACCATCCACTCGATATGATGAAGGGCAGTTTCTTTTCTGGCACAGAGAGCTCCTGATTATGGCATTACACTCTGGTAGGGGCTGAATAAAAGTGATTTGAGGAGGTTTACATCTCCCTGGAGAGGGAGAGAGCACTCATTTGCATTTATAAAGCATATTGAGAGTTCTGGCAGAAAGTTATGGTGGAAGCACAATTAAATATTTACCATCACGTCTGCTCTCCAACAGTGGCATGGGGACTAAACCAGCTGGATGTGCATGTGTTGCTGTCAGATCTGAAGATGCCTACAGGGGACACGACTCCGGGACCCAAGCCCACTGCCTGGCCTCTGCCCTCTGGGAGCACTGACTCACTGCCCAAGAGGGGAAGCCGGAAAGGGCACACGCAGCGTGGAGAGGGCACTGGTGTGGGCAGGGGCTGAGGTCCCACTTCCTCCACTTAGCAGAGAGGTGACCCTGTTCATGTCATGTAGTCTCTGTCTCTCTCTCTCTCTCTCTCTGCCTCCTCATCTGCAGAATGGGCTAGTGCTAGCCAGTACACAGGATTACATGCGTGTGCGGGGGAGGGCCTGAGTGAGATAAAGGCCTGCACGACACATGGTATGACTATTATCATAACTTAGTCACTCCAAGCTTCCATTTTTTTTTGCTATGAAAAGAATCTGATGACATGTTACTTGTGCAATACCTATAAGGTACCTATAAGAATCTAATGATATTAGACATCTAATAGTAGCTAATCTACCTTCTTCCTTGCATTGCTTTAAAGACGAAGGGAGTGAGACATGTTGGGATACAGCAATGAACAAGGATTGGTATGTGTCCTGGAAGGGTTCCTGGCTTAGCGGAGGGAAGGACAAGAAAAGAGGTCACACTGGCCTCCTATCCTGGCCAAGGCCATGAAAAGGAGACTGGAAAACTCAAGGGAAGAGCAAAACGCTTCTGTATGTGGCGATAAGGGGACCTGTTCCAACAGGGTGGATCAGGGAGACTCGCCCTATGTGTGGGCAAAGGAAGATGCTTGGGGTTTCCTAGATGGGGTGGGCAATGGTGGGGAGGGAGAGTGGAGCCTCTCCACCATCTCCTGGGGCAGAGACAGGAGAGTGACTCCCAGGGTC